TGTTGGATTAATCCATTTAAAAAGATGTAGAATGCTGGTTTAATTTCCTACAATGTTTTTTAGGATGGTCTGGTCACGGTGTGGCCAATGAGGAATTTTTGTATCTTATCCTAGTTCTGATACCTTTTAAAATTGTTGTGGACAAGGGGTCTAAGTATCCGTATTACCTCTTATCCCAGATTCAGGTCAGCCCGTGCTGCTTTGCAGAGCTTTCCCTGCTGCTTGCTTTTCAGATATGTACTATAAGTGAAAGAGTTGTGGGGGACTCGGGCAGAAATACTGTTTGAAGAGGCAGCACCAAAATCATTCAACTTCATAAAAAATAAGCCTTGGAGGAGAGAACTGAGAGCAGCTAACAGCGTAACAACTTCTTGCCCTTCATCCTTCCCACCTGTTCCCTGCAGCAGACTCCAGGATCCAAACAAGCCTGTAGGCACACAGCAAATGTGTGACTTGCACTTAGGGGCTGCTCCATTGTGTTCCTGTTTTAGGGGTGGCTATTTGGCACTGTCCACTTCTACTCAGCTGGTAATTATCCTGGCACTATCTTTTTCTCTTTTGTCTTGTTTGCTTTTCTGCTTTGAAGGAAAAGTTCCACTGAAATGTCAGCTGTTCTGGGGGGGGAAGGTTTGAGTAGCATGTATGTACCTCTCCTTATTGGTCTGCTATTTCCTTGGGTACCAGACTCCATTAAACACATTTATTGTGATAATCTGCTATTCCATCCAGAGAGGCAAAACCAAGAAAGCTAACGAATATCCTCAAAGCTGCTTAGTAAAACTGGGTCCTATCTGCACACGTGAGAATTAACAGCATCTGTTTCATGGACAGAGTGAGGCAAATACATTAAATGCTCAGCTGAATGGTTTCTTAAAATGCCTCCCTGGGTCAGTTTCTTAGTGCAATACAGCTGAGAAACAGGGCTGAGTGTACACAACCATCTCATAGCTCAGGAACTCTTCTGTGTTCTTCCCCTGCAGCTGTTGAAGAACTGGACCCCATTGTTTAAGAACTACATAAAACGGGCGTCAGATCACTTGAATGCCTTATTTGCCATTGAGGAATTCTTCCTGGAACATGACAGTCTCTGCACATCGATAGCTAAAGTGAGTATCCGCTCCCAGCTCTGAGGACCTGTTTTTTCCTAGATTCGTGGTGAAATGCATCCTGTTTGCATCATCAGCTTGTCTGCTTTAGAGGAGAGAATTTTGGGGTCTCGGTGAAGAGGGTGTATAGAAAATCCATCTATAATGATTGCTTTAAAAATAAAAAAAAACATTCTATGTCTGCCTGTGCCTCTGAGCACAGCTGAGGGTGAGTATTAACTACCAGCATGCAGCCTGAAGGGAGATATTATTTTGCAGCTTCTAACCTACGTGCCCTTGTTGTGTGATGCTGGAAGAGGTGAGGCCAGAGGCTTGCTTTAGGAAGAGCTTTACTTCATTTGTCTCTCCATGGTCCCTGGGATCTAACTGCCAAATGGTTTATCCCACTTTAGAGTGTAAAACAAGCAAAGCTGGGAATAAGGGTAGGATTTCCTATTCAGGCTGAGCTAGTTATGAAACTGGGAAAAAAGGGGAGCTGACATGTGGCTTATTACCTATCTCCCCGTTTCTGAGAGTTTTCAGTATATTCCTCCTCACCCTCCTTCACAAATATTTTGTCCCTGCATTCTGTCTGCCCTATCACACTGAGAACATTTGACTTGGATCGCAAGTCTTTCCTTTAGCAGTGTCTCAGGAAGCCTCTGTCTCTTTTGGAAGAGCTCTCCTAGAGCCTGCATAACTCTTGGGTCCTCAAGAAAGAGTAATCCTAACTTCTGCTACCAGTGCTTCTGGCTGATGGCAAAGCACTTAGGACTGGAGCCAAAAGCCTTCAGTTTGGTGAGCCAAAATGTCCTTGAAGTACAGCAATTGTTTGGCATGTGTCCATTGTTCTAGGGGCCTGGGTTTCCCTGGAGGCTGGGAATTGAAGTGACACTTTATATTTGGAGTTGGCAGCCAGCTTTGTCAGTGCTCTGCCGCAAGGAGACCGACTGCAAAGTGCCTGCTCTGCCTGAGCACAAAGGCACCCTGAGAAAGCGTGATTGCATCTTCCCCTCGCTGCACTGGGCAGGAGTTTGAGCTGATGAGTGACCAATTGCTTTGACACCTGCCATAAGGCACTTTTAAGAGACAACTGGCAGGAGGAGGGAGCCTGGGGCAGAGCTGGGTAGATTCATGCTCTTCTCTGCACACATCACCGTTGTGCATATGTGGGCCTGCAAAAGAGTTGCTTGTTAGATCTGCTTTGGGGATGGGTTTTGGGATGCTTTAAAAAGAGAACTTAAGTAATGTCTTGAACTGTCATCCTCTGTGGCCCTTTGTTGCCCGCAGCTCTCAATCATACCCTGCATCCACAGAGCTGAAGCTGATGGGGCTTGAACTTTGATTCATTATGTGTCGTAGCATCTAACTGTCAGCAACATAAGGCTTGGTAGGAGAAGCACAGTTATTTTTAACAATAAAAGCAAAATGAAGCAGACTGAGCAGCCTTCTGTTGAAGATGGAGCTGGGAGACACAGATTATGTGCAAACTCTGTGCTTGGACATAAGCTAGCCCCAAGAAAATTTATAGCCCCTGTTGCTCTTTTCTAATCGATGCAGGTGTTGATGACATTTTACCAGCTGGAAATTCTGGAAGAAGATGTAATTCTCAATTGGTTCTCTTTGCGGGACACGACTGACAAGGGAAAACAGCTTCGTAAAAACCAGCGGGTAAGTCCCAAAGGTGTTTAAAGGGAGGGGTGGGGGGCGGAGAGAGAGAGGGAACAGCTGCTAGAAGAAATTTCGAGTGGAGTTTGGTGCCACTGTCGCCTTCTGTGGAGCAGCTGCCATTACGCGGTAGGCCAGTAATGCACCAGTGCCTTGAACACTAAGCAACACAACTTTGTTCTCCAGAACAGACGTTTCTGTGCGTTCTGCCGTAATCATCCTATTTGGATGAGGAATGGAGGTAGTAGGAGAGGGAGATTGTTTTTAGTGGGTTCTCTGTAGCACGAGGCCAGCACTTTATGGAGTAGCAGCACGGCTTCTCTAAGCCAACACCCATTTGAAATGGGCTTTAGGCCAATGCCCTGTGTGCTGGCCCCATGCAATTCCTTTGAAGCTTTCATTGCTGGCTCACCAGTCCCTTCACATATATTTCTAAGCATTTGCTGTACTGAGTGGTTTCATTTGGCTTGTGTTGCAAGGAGCGTATAAACTTCCCCCTCCATCAGGCAGAACTTTGTGCTGCAGTTTGGCTGAGCCCTGTTCCAGTCGTCCTTCCTGGATCTGGAAGAGGAGCAGGGGAAAAAAGCCATCTCCGAAGAACTCCAACTTTCTTTAAAACCTTTGCAAAGTCAGCTCTTAATATAGGTCAGCAGTGCTTTCAGCTGCTTATTTGAGCCCAGTTAAAAGCTAAAACGAGCGGCCTTCTTTATAGCAATTTCTCAGGGAGTAGGTTTTTCCCAGCAGAGTTTTCCTAACATGTCTTAGCTAAGGTGCAGCTGTCATCTTTTCTCCCTCAAGCTCTGAAAAACTGTCAAACTTTTTGTCTTTCCACTGAGTATTGTAGGGATTGTCTGACTGGAGAAATCTCCCTCAGGAATTTAATCAGTCTGGGTTTGCCCATGGCATCCCACTTGTTTTTCATCTAAACTTTTGTTCTCTCTCCCTCCGTCTGCCTCTGTTTCAGCATCTCCTAGAAACACACTTTCTCGTGCTTGATAGTGGTGCTCACTGACACAGTGTAGTTGTTGAGTGTTCCCAGCATCCATTTGGTGTCACTTGTTACCCAATCACATTTCATTCTCTCTGCAGCTCCAGAAGTTTATCCAGTGGCTGGAGGAGGCAGAGGAAGAGTCGTCTGACGGCGACCAAGACTGACACGGTGGCTCGGCATGAGAAGAGGCACTCTCACTGCCTTTCTGGGCTGAGTGGGCAGGGCAAGATCAATGCCAGTGCATGGTGTGTAGATGTGGGGCCTGACATCGAAGTGACTGACAATCCCATCATTAATTAAGTTGTGTGTTCCCAACTTTGCCACTTCCCTCCCTCCCTCGCTTGCCCAGTGGCACCTTACGTTGGATGGTTGCAGCCCAGTGTAAAAACCATAAGGGAAAAGCAGGAGGTGGTGATACCTAGAATCCCGCTGGAGCCTGGATGTGATATACTATAAGCTATCTTTTGGGAGGTCTGTGTTACTAATACAAAGGGAGCAAATCGACGCAAATGCATACAACGCCCTTATAAATCTAACCATCGGGGTTGTGGGAGAGTGGTCATACAGCTGAGTTATTTGGAGTCATTGTTATTCTGGAGCTAAGAAAACTCCTGCTG